GGGTGACATCGAACAAGGGGCCTTTGCAATTACATGATACACCTGACCCCTAGGCTAAGAGATGTTTCAAATCCTTCACACTTTTGCATATACGTATGCAAACGATCAGCACAAACACACAGACCTAATTATTTAAGAAGAAGAAAAACATCCCAACTTATTTTCCTGAATGGACAAAAAATGGATCTACAAATAGCCTAGAAAATCCAATACCCTAATATCCTTGTTGGTCTCCCCTGGGATTGTGTTCCTGCACAATGTCCACCCAGCATCATTTCACTCACAACACCCTCAGTGATCAATGCAGGCTGACTCAGCAGTCTGGCTGGGCTGTCCAGGTCAGAGGATCCTGTGACACATTTACTATGTCATCACCACTGGAAGTGACACGCCGCAAAATCATTTGTAGTAACAACAGTCTGCCACCGATATCATCACCGTGACACTGTTACCTCACACGGCCCTAAAGAGCACCCAGGCACCTCAAGGGAACAGCTAACTAGTTAGCAAGTCAGCATCCTCACATAGTTTTGGCCTCTGTCAGAAGAGTTGAGCGCAGGTTTTAAATTGTTATGCCTTGTTGAAAAGAGGTCAAGAACTATGAAATATCTTGTACCAGCTCTCTCTCTCTTACATATTACATCTTTATACTATTCATTTGCTCTGCCAACAAAGTTCTAGACAGAACTTAGTTGTTGTCCTGATTGTGTTCCATGGCAACTTGTTTTTTTCAATTAGGGAGGTGAGACGTTCTTATACAGAACAAACATCATTAGAAGAAGATTTGAGAGGATTCTACGTGTCACGTTACATTGGGAAAAATGATTTTGGTTAAAAGTTGTCTATATATGATATTCAGAGCATGAATACTTTTTGCTATGTATAGATGGAGTAATGTCTACCTGAGCAGAGAATGAAGTCGCTCTCCCTCCGTGCGTGTTGTAATCTGAGCTTCTCTCTGCTTTGTCTACAGAACACGGCCGCCCACTTGTGCCTTTTAGTACACGTTGTAGCGTGCCGCATGGCTAGCTCATGGCCGCCGCTCGGCACTGCTCTCACACGGCGGTTACCGCCCCCGACCGACGGCGTCGTCTCGGACGTGTAGCGGCCACCCTCCTGTTCCCCTTCAGGTAAACTCCGTTAGCTCTGTCAGCACTGTTGCCTTTGTTTGCACTGTAAGCGCTGTTGGCACCGTTAACAGCGAGCCGCTCTCTTATCTCTTAAGATACATATTATTTTCCACGAAAGGTCGGAGTCATTTACTTCTGATGTATCTTAAGGATTTTAATATTTCATGTACCATTCAGTGATTTTTAATCGCTCAGCATGTATGATCTTTCTCCCACAACCCAGTGCAGGATTCAAAATGCCCCTTCAGAAACATCCCAGACACTTTGTCCACAGTTTATGTTGTGAAATGACATGAGAGGGCACCAACACTGCAGGGCGGATGTTTCAGTTTGTTTCACGAAGGATTTGGGATGAAGCCCTGCGTTATTCTGACAGTGGGGGGCTGACAGGGCAGCCTACCGGCTTGTTTGTGCCTCCTCGACCTGCCTCTCTGCTTGTGTTGATGAAGGACAGCATGACCTCGCACTCAGGCCGTGATGGGGCAGCTCATTAGTCTTTATCTGAATCCAGCTATGACCCAACAGCACTGCATTTACCTGATGCTCGCTGGCAAACGTCGACTGCAGTTTTTGTTCACAAGTAGCACGCAAGGTCAAATAAAGATAAGGGCCGTCACCTTTTGTTTTATTTTCAATGAAAATTACTGAGATTTTCTGTTAAAAAGGAAAGAAATCAGCTACTAGTAACTTTCACCAGGGCCCAAAAAAAGACGCAGTTCAAGCAGTTTTCGATGGGAAAAGGTCATGCTGTGGTGAAGACGGATCGGAAAAAAGCTTTCAGTGTTAGAAAGTAAAGAGAAAAATGCAAATAAGCTACTAATTATAGACCAAAGTCCCCATTGGCTTCAGTGGAAGCAGGACAGTCATGCTACCGACACAACTATGGATGTTTTACACCAACATCTGTGTTCTGTTGTTATAATTGAATCACCTCACACAATGTACACATTAAGCCTCGCGTTTAGTCATCACAGCAGACGCATGTAAATCCTCGCATGTCCATCTCTCCCCAATAACTCACACATTTATGCCCCCGCTGTGAGATTACGAGGCTGCAGACAGTCGCTCACTCATCAGTTTCTTCCTCCTGCAAGGACAGGACCAGAACAAGGATCAGGACCGTCCCATCAACCCCCCCCTTCATCATCCGCTGTATGAAAACAAACTCCGAAGACACAAATTCATCCAAACAGTGCATCTCCTGCGTGGGCATCGCTGTGACAACACGCACGCCCACAACATAAAGTGTGATCTGTCCTCTCTGGTCCTATTCTTGGTGAACATCAACCGGCAACCTCTGCTGCTCTACCTCCCGCCTGCAGACGCAAACATACACACGACCATATGCATCCGCTCTCCTTCAAGGGCATGCCTGTCCTGAGCTTTAAGAGGCGAGGAGACCACATAAAGCAAGGAAACAAGGGCTTGTTAGCTGCTCCACGCCCACAAGGTCACACACAGCCATGTTGCTGCGTGTGCCAGTAGAAATAAAAACCGCACGGGGGAAGAGAATGAGAGAGGTGCCCTACCATTTCTCCCACTGGTCCTCCATCCAACCCTCTTCTCCTTCCCCTCCCGAGTCCATACTGGAAGTGAGGAGGGCATCCACAGCTGAGAGGAGAGGAGGAGGAGGAGGACGAGGAGGAGGATTGGGGTTAGAAAGTGAAGGAAGGAGGGAGGGCGGAAGAGAGGGAGGAGCGAGCAGGAAGAGAGCCGGAGGAGAGGGAGGAGGGGTGCAGCTCCACCGGGTCGATGGGAGAGGCGTCCGACTCAGAGCCCCGCTGCTGCTGCCGCTCATCCGGAGGAAAGAGGGGAATTATTTAAAGAGGAGGAGCGGAATCTGCCACCGAAGAGTAGTGTTATATAACCTACTCCTCTCTCTCTCTCGCTCTCTCTCTCTCTCTGTTTACTCTGTCTGGTGTGCATCAGATTTACTACGCCACTGCAGGAAAGTGGTGGTGTTAGCCGGACATCCAACGCCATGGCAAACAGGGGAAGCATCAGCTCAACAGGATATCTCTCTCTCTCTCTCTCTCTCTCTCTCTCTCTCTCTCTCTTCCTCTTAAAAGGAGAACTCCAGTTTATCACACTGTGGTCCTTGTCTCCATCAGTTAAGATGGTATTGCACTCTCCCAAATTATTTGCTGAGGTCTGGCGACTTGGCAACATCGATAAAAAGATGCCTGGCAGGGCATAAAACACAAGCAGTCAGAAGATCACACAGGCTGTAAACAAGACAGTTCACTTCATCCACACGATGTAAACCCCTAATGTTGAGGTAAAACTGAAAATCTGTCGTTATGAAGGGAAATGGAAAGCTCACCACGACTGTAACTCTGGTGGGTCGAAGTCTGTCTGTGAACTGTAATGGATGTTTACAATGAACATCGAGTACAATGTTATTGTTGCAGGTGGAAATGATGGCCAGATCTACAAAAGTAAGGTAAAAATATGAACCTGTTATTTAACATATGCTCATCTTTGCTTGTTTAGGCAGGTGGTTAAACGTCCTCTTTTAAAATCAATGTGTCTGGAACATGAACTGTACAGTCCATTAACCCCGTCAACCCCGCTGACCTTAAAACCTTCTACCAGCATCTTATGTACCAAAGCATATGCACTGTATCTGGGCAATAGCATTTTATACAGGAGCATCGTGCTGATTGTAGCAACCAAAGGCTTCAAAAAATACACAAAGCAAGAGGATTTATCTCTGATGTCCAATCAAACCTCTGCAGCCTGGTGCGGAGTCTGATTTTTCAGGAGGTGCGCGGGCTCCGCAAAACAATCTCCGTGGCTCTGCGCAAACTCTGCAAAGGCTTTTCCGCAGAGGTATAAATTAGGCGTTAAGGTTAGAAAAGGGATCGTGGTGCAGGCTAACTTGACTAACGAATCACATGACCAACGAATGACTAACGAGTCAACGTTGACTTTTTGTTTCAGATGGGACACGAACAGCGGTCTCCGGGGTGAAAGTCCAGCACCAAAAGGAAGACAGAGTTAGTGACTAGGTAACAAAGTAGCTAAAAGAGGCAGATATGTAGATCCAGGAGTTCTAGAAAACCAAACCAGTGCAAAAAAGGAGAGGATATTGGATTTGCATTCATCAGGTGCACAATTTTTTTTTTTTAAATGACTAATGTGTTCATTATATTGTTAAACAGGCTACAATGTTTGCTACAATGTAAGCTTTAACAGCTTCATGACACCTAATGTATCAGCTGCGAGCTTGTTATGATGCGTTTCTGCCCCCTAGTGGCCAGAAATCCATGAATGCATGATAAACAAATAACAGCAAAAGCTTTTCGTTCCGCCACATGTTTATATTTGCAACACCCACTACAACGTAAGGCAGGTGCTATAGGCAAAAGTAAAAGTTGTGCTTTGGAAAACCAAGCCCCAGGATTCAAACATTCCCTCAGAAAGGTCAAACACACTAAGTCCTTGTTTTTCTGCACTCTGAGCTGTCAACACGTAGCCATATGGCCGTACAGCGCGGCCTCGGCAACTGGCCAGAGCCTATGGAGCTCACACACCAGAAGAGCTTCAACACTTTACATGCTGAAGGAACATGTAAAGCTATTAAAACTCACAAAACGTGAAAAGTGTTCTGTATCTGAGAATAAGGAGTACGATATATTCATGTTAGTCTTGAGAGACTGACGGAAAAGGGAGAGAGAGAGAGAGAGAGAAGTATCCCAAGATGGTGTGAGTGATGTTTAATCCCTGTTCAGCTCATCAGCAGAGGAAAAATTAACCCAGTAATGGCCACGAGGGTCGAGGTAACAAGCTGCATTCATCTCATAATACCAGACAGAAAGTTCAAGAACAACAATTAGCTCATTTCTTAATTGTGAACACTCAAATCAATAGATTAACTAAAAATAGAAAGTATATTATAAAGAGCCTGCCTGTGCCAAAGGAAGGAGGGGGGGATCTGAATGGCTTGTTGAATGACATGTTTTTTGATCGATGCAGCCCAAAAATAAAACTGACTGCGTTATTACTTAAAAACAGGGAAAATAGGAACAAAGCCCTTTCGTTATCAGAGAAAGAGAGAGATGGAGAGTGTGTACTGTATGGGAGGGGAGGTGCCATCAGGTGGAACGTGCTGTGTCAGCAGAATAGAGCAACAGCAGTAAATAATGAGCGTGTGTGTGGTTGGGGGGGGGGGGGGGGGGGGGGGG